TCTCTTGCATAGGGCTGCATGGATGTTAAATATTTAGATTTCTTTCCACAGTGTGTTTTACCTTTTAAAGTATAAGCATTTTATGGAGTGTGCGTCTTTTGATGTAACAAAAGTCACTAAAGACCTTTTCTGCAATTCAGGTAAATTCAAGACTTCCTCTCTTTCTAAAAATAATTTCACTCCTGGCAGATGGCTACTTTTAGTAATAGTAGACAAACACATTTTCCTTTTGGTATAAAAATGAAAATATTTTACAAAAATCTTACAGAAGACTGATACAAGGGTACAGAACTGAGGTAAACTTGTGCTACAAAGTGAGGTAAACTTGTGCCCCATGTTCTCCTGAACAGTTAGACATCAGAGTAAATCCCGTTTTCAGTTTTCACAGATTCCACATTATTACCTGGGGTTGAAGGACAGTCTCACTAGAAATGTGAACTGTGACTAGATATTTGATGATATTAAGAAATTATTGATAATTATTTTTATGTGTGATAATGGTATTTTGTTTTTGTTTCTGTTTTTAAAAAGTATCCTTATCTTTTAGATATACATATTAAATATCCATGAATACAATTATATCATGTCTGGGATTTGCTTCAAAAAATAATCCTAGGGAGAGTAGTGAGACACAGAGAGGGGGTATTGATGAAGGCATGTTGACTATGTGTTGGCAACTGTTGAAGCTGGTGGGGAGTCTGTTATACTATTGTACTAGCATGATACTATTTCCGACTATGGTATATTTAAAAAATCTTCCATAATAAAAAAAAAAATAATGAAGCAATTCCACTGACTTCTGTTAAAGAGTGGAAAATAAAACTGGATCATTAAGTATTTGAAAGATAGTTTCTGGAAGATACATGTAGCTGAGAATTATTAAACTATGGAGAGTAAGAGAAGAGCTTGTGACCAAATTCTGATTTCCTCACTCCATGTCATCAAACTACAGCACATTAGAATGCCATTAATAATAGTAACAATAGCTGCTGCTACAGCAGCAACAGTTCATATTCATTGAATACATATCTTGAGCCTGGAACTGTTTTAAGAACTTGGCATTGATTATCTCACTATTTTTAGCCCCACTTAATAGATGACTAAACTGAGGCTAAGTAACTCGGCTACTGTCCTAGTAGTAAAATCCTGAGAAACCAGGATTTGAACCCAAAGAGTCTCACTCTACAATCCATTCTTTCATTCATTCTCCAAACACTTATTGAGCAGCTACCATGTTCCAGGCACTAGAGCAGCAGTGGTGAATAAAAGAGCAAAAAGTCCTGCAAGCATGGGGCTTCTATTCCAGTGGGAGGAGCAGACAAAACCCAACATGCTTAATAAGGAATATGTGTGTTTTACTTATGTTTTTAAAATATATTTTTTAAAATTAATTTTTATTTATTTATTTATTTGCTGCGTTGGGTCTTTGTTGCTGTGTGCAGGCTTTCTTTAGTTGTGGCGAGTGGGGGCTACTCTTCGTTGTAGTGTGCGGGCTTCTCATTGCAGTGGCTTCTCGTTGCAGAGTGTGGGCTCTAGGTGTGCAGGCTTCAGCAGTTGTGGCACGTGGGCTCAGTAGTTGTGGCTCGTGGGCTCTAGAGCAGTAGGCTCGGTAATTGTGGCTCACCGGCTTAGTTGCTCCGCAGCATGTGAGATCTTCCCAGACCAGGGATCGAACCCATGTCCCCTGCATTGGCCACTTAACCACTGCTCCACCAGGGAAGTCCAGGAATATGTGTGTTTTAGAGATGGTAGTAAGTGCTGTGGAAAAAGATTAAGAAGGGAAGAGGATAGGGAGTGACACAGTTGTCAGAAAGACCTGAAAAATGTGGTGACATTTGAGAAGACCTGAACAGGTGGTATAGGGAATTTCAGGCAAGAGAAACATCAAGTGCAAAGGTCCTGTGGCAGGAGCTTGTGTGGTGGGTTCAAGGATCAGGACAGAGGCTTGTATGGCTGCAGCTGAGGATAGACAAGGAGTAAGATAAAGGCAAGACCAGGGATGACCCACATATTACAGGGTCTCTGGAGCTTATGGTGCCCCAGGACCTCCCTGGTTCCTTCTCAGAAGGTCAAGAAGGCCCTTTCCTGCTCAGTGCTTGAGAAGGAGAGAGAAGGGCCAAGATGTGGATGGTCCCCATGGTCTCAGGCCTCAGACCTGGCCTCCAGAGTATCCTCACAACTTCTAGGACTTCCAAGGCTCTCCTCTGTTTCCATCCTTCCTCTGCCCTTGGCCGTGTTTCCTGAGACCCCACAGGCAGGGTGTCGAGGACCACAAGGAGGAAGAGGCTGCAGTATGACTGAGCTCTATTTATTTTTATAGAGACTTAGAGAGTCAGTAAACCTGACCAGGTCTACCACTGTTTCTCTCCATATACTGTGATAAGTAAACATGTTGTCTCAGAGAACTTAAATTCTCAGTTTGAGAATTGATAAACAACTTGATATAAAAAATTTCTTTGTGGGTGATATTTGGTAGGTTGAGTAATTCTGTTTAACTTATCTAAATACACTTACTAAGAAGTCTTTGACAAATTACCTGAGATTGAACTAACATCGCTTTTTGTAGGTTCTACACTTGAAACTTTTATAAAAATTTTTAGCAACAACTTGCCCCAAATTCTTTATCAGTGGTTTTCAATTGGTGTCCCCCACCACACACACAGAGCTTCTCTTCATAGACCCTTCAGTGGCTGCATTGGGGGTGGTGTGTGAGATGATATCACAGGCAGGATGAAACTCACATCCTCTTCCCTGCCCTCTTTCTATTTATAGCAGCTCTGGTTTACTTGTGGATATCATATAAGATTTTATTTGAACAATAGGTTCTGTGGCTAAACAAAACTTGTAAACCATTCTCTATAACTGGAAGTTGTAATTCTTTTTCCATGATGACATTTTTGAACACTGACATACCTTTAAATAAGGCAAGTGTGTGTGTATGTGTGTGTATGTGTGTGTGTGTGTGTAAGCAATTTAAAGGAAATAATAATTTATATCTTAAGGATTGGATTTTTAAATGTAACATTTTTACCCCACGTATTCTGTTCAACAGCTGAGTGTTAACTTTGGCTCTTAAAGGTTAGAAAAGTCCTACAACCTTTGGCATGCTCTGAGATCTCAACTGGTTGGGGAATCATAGAGAAATTCCATCTTTGACATTAAAATAAATGCTTCTATTATGTTTTGTGATTGACAAGGAAGAGAGGAGGGAAGATGTTGCAATTCTACCTCCTAAAGAATCTATTTTGTAAAGGTAGGTATTTGGCTCTAACTGACTTCTGACACATGTCATTCAACCCTATAGAAATTCTCTTGGATAAGAACCTGACCCAGGCAAACCCACTTGTAAACTGGGGAAGGGGGAGGATTTGAGTGTAAGCACCTTGAACCAGAGGACTTTTTTTTTCCATTTAGAAAAACCTTCCTGGGGTTGATTTCCATAAGTGTACATTTCCTCTTCATAATTCTAGTCATTAATCACCAAGTAGTGTTTAAAAGCACCTGCGTGGATCACAGATTCCACAATCCAACGTGAAAACTGGAATTTGGGATTACTTCTTGCTCTAAGAAGTATAATCCATCCCCCGGGTCTGCCCCTGGCTCATCTGGCATCTCTGTTTTTGAAAGAACTTGGATCAGGGTACAGGATTTCAGTGTCTTCTCTTACTCCTCTTTTCTTGAATCCAGGGTCTCTTAACCTCCGCACTATAGACATTTGGGGATGGATACTTCTTTACTGCAGGGGAGGGCTGTCCTGTGCATGGTAGGATGGTTAGCAGCATCTCTGACTTCTACCCACTAGGTGCTAGAAATGCTCCTACCCCCGTTGTGACAACCAAAAATGTCCCCAGACATAGCCAAACGTCCCCTCGCAGAGGTAGTAGGTAGGACTGTGAAGGAGCAAACTGTCCCCTACTGAGAACCACTGCTCTCTAATCCCTGCGGATCCCCAAACTGAGAATCCTACCAGGAATTACCCGGTCACTACTAGACATGGTTCTCAAGGATACCCATGTACTTTAACCAAGTCAGTGTTCTCAACACTGGCTGCACATTAGAATCACCTGAGATGTTTACCAATGACCAAGTGAACATTAGCATTTTTAAAAAAGCTCCCCAGAGATCTTAATTTGTAGACAGGACAGACAGCCTCTGAACTAAGTGTACTGAGCAATCTTAATACTTATTAAAACTCCAAAAAAAACCTCACCCCAAATTTATTTCAAATAGGAAATGCCAAGTAGTTTCAGAGAAATAAAAAAAAAAATCCATATATCAATCTATTACAGTCTATTATAGGCCCCTGGAGACATTCACATGTGCTTTTTGTTGTTTTGTTATCATCACAAAGCAGTTGAGAAACGATAATTCTGGGAGTTCTGAGCTTTATAACAGTTTGACTAAAGGTGCATCACTTGATGTAGAGCAGTTTCTCTGGTGCTTGTAATGCACAGACTTTTTTGACCAAAGTGACAGGGAGAAGCCTGACCAAGAGGAAATTCCTGGAATGTACAGTGTTAAAATTGGCAGGGAAGGAAGATCCAGACTTAGCAAGACTAAGCGTGGCCTAGGAAGGGAGGCCTCTGATAATGTTCTTCAGCAGATGAAAAATATGATCTAATGGCTACCTCTTTCCTTTGTTAGTGCTTCAGTAACAGTGGGAATGAAACCAGACAATGGCGGTCTTCGTAACTTAGGATCCAAAAGAATGATGCCCAGAAGGTGAACATGTTCTGGCAGCTGCCAGTCCCACTTCTGGCCGGCCAGGAGGGGCTGGTCAAGGTTTTCATCCAGTTACTAATCTTCTGAAAGGTATAGGATGCATTCAGTGATGTTCAACTTTCCATGTGACCTTAGGCAACTCAACTTCCCTGAGATTTTGTTTCCTTATTTGAAAGATGAGCAGCATGATATTTACCCCAGACAGTGACTATAAGGATTAAATTAGATAATAGGTGTGAAAGTGCTTTGTGAAGTGTAAAGCCCAGTAGGTAGCCAATTGTAAACCCGGAGCTGAGCGTGCTATTACATTAGCACATTAAGTTCATGTTTCTCTCGTTTGTCCTCTGGCTGTTCTTCCTCGCAGTCTGGGTTAGGATCCGGGTGGTGGATTTCAATGACAAGAACATAGATGAGGCCTCCAGCGATAGCACCAGCAAAAGGGCCCACTACAGGAATCCACCAGAAGTTATTTCCAGCTCTGAAATCAAACAAAGAAATTAGTGATACACCACTTGGCCTTCTTCCTGGTATTACTGCTAGTTATTCACTAACCAGCTAGTCATTTCTTATGCTCATGACTCCCTTTTAAATCAGCAAGAGCTAAGTATAAGGGCACTCACTGTAGCTTGGCAACCATCATCCTAGATTTTGCAGTATACCTGATTTCAGATGATCTATTCCATTGTCCTCTTAGTACTTGTGAGAGAAATGTCCCATTTACTTTCCTTTCAGAAAATATAGTCCCCGAACCCATGGCTACAATTGAGGGCATTTAGGGAAAGTTCAGGTTGATTATTCAGGAGTTGCCTTCCCCTCATCCTGAAGTAATGAGTCCTGGGGATTACGAATGGTTGGGAGATGTGGAGAGATTCCTGGACATGATTGGTATATGAGGGCAATTACAAAATAAACAATCAGGAAACATTTGCCAATAAGTGAATTAAAAAAAATCAAAGGTAGAGATATGAATTACCTACTAAATATAATTGAATTCAGTACTTATATTTTGAGGTCAAAGCTTACTTAAACTTACTCTCTGATAAGGACTTTCTGCCATGTTTCCCTCTCCCCTCCAGAAATCCTCAATGTCAGCACATTGTATTGGAGGTATAGTTCTGAGAGAAAGCAGGTGCCTTTGCAAATTGTCACCATCTCTTTTGGAGATAGAAAATCCACTTAAATAATTCCGTAGAAAGGACCATGAGTGGTCAGAAGCAAGTAAAACTATACAATATGTTGTTTAAGGATATGTACATTTGAGATAAAACTTTTTAAAAGCAGGATAATTATGAACAAAAAATTCAGAGTAATGCAGAGGAGGCAGAGGAAACAAGAGGAACACAACTACGCATGGGAATTTCACAGTGTTCTATTTGGGGGAAGGATTCATGGCTGCTATTTTTATTTTTATTCCTAACAACTATACATATTTCCATGGGACCTTTGTTTGTATCAGTTTTTTATTAGAAAGGATGATAAAGGAAATAAGCACAAAACAGGGGGCCTGTCCTAGAATTCATGAGATTCAGTTCTAATCTCAGGAGTGTCCAGAAGGTCTTTGGGCAAAGTCTCCTCATCTCTGAGCTTCATTCTTCCATCTGAACAGTGGTCCCTTCCACCTGTATCATCCAAGCAGTCTCTTAGATCCTGAATCGTAGATCATCAATGCAGGCTCACAGTAAGATAAGAAGTCTTAGACCATAAACACAGGCTCTGGGGAAAGAGCACCGTGATTAAGCACAGTGGCCAGCAGATGTCACTCTTACTGCACTGGAAAGAGGTCACTGCATTCAGCTGTTCTCACAGCGCCCTTTCCCAAGCCTCCAAATCCAGGTGGAATTTTCTATGAGAGGCACCTGGGCTTTAAAGAACTAGGAGCCTTCTCTTCAGGTAAGCACATGAAGCAAGTTTAAGCCACCTTATTTGGCCCATCACTTCCTTTCTTCCATCACTGGTTTGTGGCACATCTCTTACTGTCATTTAACAGATTAGGGTCGAAGATATCTGCCAGCACACATGTCCTCCTTTCACTGGCTGGACCCTCTTGAGCTGGATGTGTTGCACCAGGGTCACAAGGCTTAAATGGAGGAGTTCTGATACGGTTCCCTGCCTGGCCTCACAGGTAAACAAGGTCATTTGCACACTATGATTTGGGGGATGCCAGAAATATGTCTGTGTTAATTGCTTACAGTCCCATCATGAGGGGTTCATTCCTTTGGTTAAACTATTGTAAAAATTAACAATACCCCAGAGATCCTTCATCCACTAAGTTATCAACACTTTAAAGTGAATTAGTGAAGACCACTTGCTTACATCCTAATACTTAAGGGAAAAGCAAGAGTCAGCCAGGGTCTGTCTTGCCCTTGTCAGACCTACTGGAGCCCCACTCCCGCTCTCATCCTCACTCCGTGCCGTACAGGGGCAAGTGAGGATCCAAGGCAGTCTCGGTTTTATCTGAGACCTTGGGTGTGGATCCAAACTAGAAAGTTCCCTGAAATGCTTAGCTTGGATGTAGAACCCTGAAAGGATGGGACACTTTAGGGACTCTTTGGAGTCCTGTTATCCCTCAACGGTTTCCTTGGGAACTTTTTGGTTGAGGATTATCAGTCAGTCTAGCTATTTCCTAACTGGTTTCTGCCCCCTCTACTCATTTTTAATCTGTTCTATATAATAATGTCGGATCCATTTTGCTAAATTGAAGTTCTAAACATGTCAAACTTCTGCCCTAAATCCTTTGTTGCTCCCTATAACCTACAGAAGAGGGAGCAGCAAAAACCCCGAAGTCTCATTCTGGGAATCTAGGTCCTCTAATGGTCTGAGGCAATTGCCCTTCCAAGCTTCTTCACTCACCCTTCCAACTAAACTAGATCATGTGTTATTTTAACATTCTGTCTTGGGATACAGAATCCTCTCTGCCTGAAATATCCTCTCTGTTCCCTGTTTAAGCATGTCCAAATACTACAAAATGCCCCTACGTCCACCCCCATAATTCTCAAATTTGGAGCTACAAACCTTCTCTCAACTCTTGGAGTTAATTAGTCAAATCTCTTCAATGGCACTTGACAGCTCCAACCTGTGTAAGAGCCTGTGCTCACTACTCTGAAATAGAATGTAAATAAAGCAGTGAAGGGCAACAACTGTGAGGGGCATCTTTAGCACAGGGCCTTGAATAAGAAATCAGGTAGCTGCATGGGTGAATGAATGCATGAATGAGGGGAAAAACCCTGATGCTAGCAAGGGACATGGTGCTCAGAGTTTGGCATTAGGTGATTTCAGCATTCTCCCACAGACATGGTCTCCTGCCATATACTCAACAAAGCAAAGCAAAGAGGCAAGATCTCTACCTCTTTAGAACCACCATCCTCTTAGAACTTTGGGTGAATCACCAAGCAGGGCTCAAATAGAGGTCACATCACTGTGGGGCACCTTTGTTCTCTGGGTCTGTGTGAAGCTCACAGAGGTGTCTTGATGGTAGGGGCAGTGGTCTCCTGGAGTGAACCTCAGGAAATTGGGATTAAAGGAAACTCATGGGCCAATTCTGGGCTTTGGAAATAAGGAGATGTTTAACGTATGCTTTTGACAGTACATTGGAAGAATACAAATGATCCTTCCTAGTTGGCATTTTGTTCAACCTTTTCACGTTCTAGTATGATCATTCTGGAAGAGAGCTCCTCAACTGTGGCACTCTTAACATTTTTGGCTGAATAATTCTTAGTTGTGGCGATCTGTCCTGGATACTGTAAGATGCTTAGCAGTATCCCTCTACTGGCCTCTACCCACTAGATGCTGGTGACAACATCTGCCCCCACCCTCCCCAGTTGTGACAACCCAAAGTGTCTCCAGGCATTGCCAAATGTCCCCGAGGGCAATATCACCTCTGGCTGAGAACCACTGCTCTATAAATTCACTGCATTGTTCGTTTCTTAAAGATAGGGAATGTTTCTTGATTCTTTTTTATCCCTCATCTCCTAGGACATATGTGTCACATAGCATTTATCCATATTTTTATTCAATAGCTTTTATTGAGGCTTTCTATGCACCAGGCCACATCCTAGTCACAGCGGACACAGCAGTGAAAACATGGTCAAGGTCTCTGTCCTCATGATGCTTATGCTATAGCAGCTCTAATGCTGTCTGTGGTGGTGATCAGAATGGTGTCAGTGATTGCAGTAGCTTGTGTTTCATGATGGTGAAGGCAACCCAAACTCTTAAATGAATTCATCACTTGTGTACAGCTATATACAGGTCAGCATTAGGGACACTCAAGTGTTTTGTTCCCACAGCAGACATTAAACTAAAATTTGCTCACACATGTTTTCCATGCTTCTCTTTCTCCATGTTAGACCCCTGTTTCCTGGGGAACAAAGGTGGGTGCCTTTCCCAGAGTGAGATGTGATGAGTGGTTGGGGCCTGGCCACCATGACTTTAGCGGGGGACGGTGGGAAGGAATTAACGGGCAAAGTTTGTCCTGGGAGCTTGGTACCAGCAGTTGGCATGTTTCATCAGCACATTCTGAGGTGTAAGGCACGGGGTCTTGCCACTTCCTGTGCACAGGCTCTCTTTGATGCCTGTTCCACTAGGAATTTCTTATGCTTCAAGAATTCAAGGACCAGTGATTAGGACTCCGCGCTTTCACTGCCGAGGGCAAGGGTTCGATCTCTGATTGGGGAACTAAGACCCCGAAAGCCACATGGCATGGCCAAAAAAAAAGAAGAAAAGAAAAAGCTCAGCATTCACTTCTTCTGTGGTGCCTCCTGCAGCTTCCCCGGGTGGAGGTAGTCACTCCCTCATCTGTGTTCCCTTAGCACTTTGTCTCAGGGGTTACCAGAGCACTTGTTACATTGCTCAAGGCCAGTGTCTTATCTGATTTTGAAATTTCCTTGCCTAGCACAGTGACCACAGCATAGGTGGTGATTAAGGTAGATCTGTTGAATGAATGAATGAAGCGAAGCTAGCATGGTCTCCTAGAAAGAGCCCTATAGTAGTATCAGAAGATAGAAATTCTACCCCTTTGTCACAAAGTGAATACGTAGGCAAGTTCTACATCCAAAATAGTCACTTAAAGCCATATACCAATTGAGAAATTATTATTATTATTATATAGGATAAACCTATCTCTTTGAATCTATCTAGAGCCTCTCTTTCTCTGTCTCTTTGTCTCTCTCTGTCTCTTATTATGTCTCTGTGTCTGTCTATCTTTTTGTCTCCCTCCCCCTTCTCTCTGTCTCTCTCTTTCCTACACACACACACACACACACACACACACACACACCGTATCATAAATCACCAGTGATACGTTCCACACTTATGATGAGGATGCACTTAACCTCACCCTCCCATCTGCACTCTCTTGGATCTCCAGGTCAAAGCACAGCCCTCCCCATTGAGGCACAGTGTGAATCTTCCTCCCTCCTCCCTGACCATTGTTACTTACGTGAAGACCTCAAACCCCCAACCTGCCAAGGCAGTGAAAAGTCTGGGACTCAGGTCTCGAGCTGGGTTCATGGCACAGCCACTGTTCATTCCCAGAGAGGAAGAAATGACAACAATCAGGAAGCCAATGACAATGGGCTGTAGGCCTTTGGGGACTCCCAAGTTTCTTGAGTCAAAAATGGCAAAGATGACAATGAGGAGGAACATGGTGGCCACTACCTGGGGAGGAAGAAAGTATACAAGGGATTTAGCTTATATTCTTCCCCCTTACCCACCTCAAAATTCACCCACTCTCATTAAAAACAAACCTAGTGGGGCTTCCCTGGTGGCGCAGTGGTTGGGAGTCCGCCTGCCGATGCAGGGGACGCGGGTTCGTGCCCCGGTCCGGGAGGATCCCGCGTGCCGCGGAGCGGCTGGGCCCGTGAGCCATGGCCGCTGGGCCTGCGCGTCCGGAGCCTGTGCTCCACAACGGGAGAGGCCACAGCAGTGAGAGGATCGCGTACCGAAAACAAAAAAGAAAAAAAAGTCCCATTACTCTGTGGCTCCTCTTTCTTATTATAATGTCTAATAAAAAAAAAAAAAAAAAAAAAAAAAAAAACAAACCTAGCAATAAGTAACATACGCTGGGTGAGCACTCTGTGCCACACCCTTATCGCAGCAATCCTAGACATGGGTGCTGATATTATTCTCCTTTACAGATGAGTTACCTGCCCAAGGTGACACAGTCAGTGACAGTCAGGTGTGGATCCAGAGAGTTCAGCTCTAGAGACTGTTATTTTTACTACACTATTCTGCTGAGCTACTACCAGCTAAATGGAGAGCAAGCTACAGGCTGGAAAAATGAACAAAGGGGCTCATTCAAATTGGTGAGAAAAACAATGTGAGACATCAATAGATGAATGGGCAAAGGAAATGAAAAGAAAATCCATAAAAGAAAAATAGATTTAAGAAACAAATAAGAGGGAAAAACTGATTCACAATGAAAAAAAGTGCAAACAATACAAAGTGTTAGGGAACTGATACCACTTCTCTCAGGCTTTCCTAATTAAACTAAGCACATACTACACTTTTGAAAGGCAATTCATCAGTAATTTAGCAACATGCATTAAAAAAATCCATAAGATTATGTACTGAATTTGACCCAGTTGGATATTTTGAGAACCACATCATGGAAACAATCTAAAATATGGAAACATCATAAAGCAAATATGCAAATAAATAGTTAAACATCATTTATAGTATTGAAAAACTGGAGTCCACATGAATAGGGAAAGGGCTAACTATATAATGAAGTGCCCATTCTATAGCCTATTATACAGCCATTAAAAACAGATATAAGGCCTTCCCTGGTGGCGCAGTGGTTGAGAGTCTGCCTGCCGATGCAGGGGACACGGGTTCGTGCCCCGGTCTGGGAAGATCCCACTTGCCGCGGAGTGGCTGGGCCCGTGAGCCATGGCCGCTGAGCCTGTGTGTCCGGAGCCTGTGCTCCGCAGCGGGAGAGGCCACAGCAGTGAGAGGCCCGCGTACCGCAAAAAAACCCAAAAAACAAAACAAAAAAACAAATATAAGAGCTATCTGGTAAAATTTTTAAATGCTTATGATATTAAGAAAAATATGTGCATTATATTTTATACTTGAAAACAACATAAAAACAAGTTGTAAGAGATTATACAAACAATGACAGCAGGTATTCTGAAGTGGTGTGGTATAGTGGGTATTTTCCCCACTCTCTAGTTTCTAAAATTTCCAAACTATTATTTTACTTTAACACCTAAATGATAGCTTCTATTTACCAGACACTTATTATGTGCCAGGTACTTCATATGCTTTTTCTCATTAGAACTTCACACCAATCAGTGAGATAAATCCTATTTATTCACAGTTTACAGATGAGGAAATGTAAATAGAAGGAGGTTAAGAAACTTGCCCAAGGGCACACAGCTCATAAGCAGAAGAATCAGGATGAGAACAAGACAAGTGATTTTAGACCAGAATAGTTGTGCTATTGGCTACACGACAGATGCTTGGATGCAGCTTGTTTAAATGTTATTAAGGCAGAGAGACTTATAGCTGCCTAGAGAGTCTGGATAAACCTGTGCACGGGGGGAGACACAGAAGACCTGTGATACTCTAAGCTCAACTACTACACTTCACAGTCCTTGAACTGAGATCACAATGTCTTTTCTTGAGGCCTCTACGTTTAGATCATGTGTACAAAAGAGACAGTTAGGTGGAACAAACCCCATTTGCCCCTACAGGGGTTGAAATGTCCAGTCATGCACTTTTCTCTGAAACTTGACTGTTGTGGAACAAGTGTATGTATTAAAGAGGAGGCAGGAAACCCTTAGTGGTATCAACTTTGGCAAGGGCAGAAATTTGTCAACAAAGCTTGGGTTATGCATAGGGACCTCTGACTTTGGAAACATAGCCTTTCTTTTCTGATAGGCCTATAATGTTCCTATGCATCCCCCTTATTAGATTATGTCTTTTCATGAAAGTTAGGTCTTTGTTGAATGTACACTTACTTGATCTGCAAGTGCATTCACCAGAGACAGATACGGAGCTGGGTATGTTGCGAAAATGTGTGCTGTTGCGTTTTCTCCCACGACGAGCAGTTTTCCACCAGCAAAAGACAGAAATGCATCTATGGAAGACAGAGCTCTGGCATGTTAGTGTGCTCTGGGCAGGGAGGGACGTAGGCCTATGCCAGGTCTTGTGCTGAACAAGTACAGGCGAACCCTCAGGTTCAGCTAGGAAGATCCATATCATTTGCCTCTTTTCACTTCACAGTATGGTAGCTTTAGAGATACCCAGAGAACTCCCAGGATAGCGGGTCAGAGAGGGAAAGCCCCGGCTGCCCTTGATGGTTCACTCCACGTTTGAGCCAAATCCTTATCCAGTGGGTCTTGGGTACCATTTTTCTTTGAGGGGAATTCTTGGAATTTTCAAGATTGACTAAAAGGGAAAGTGAAGCTTGGACTTGATCTATGCAGAGCTCATGATTCCCAGAGGGTTCTCAGTAACCCCTAATAGCAGTCCAGAATTTGAGGGCATCAAGGTACAGTGAAGATGCCCTTAGAACAAGGAACACAGCAGTCCCTGACACAGCCAGCACCACCCCCAGGCCTCTCTGGCCACAGCAGCTGGTTCTCTATGTTTCTGGTCTGGTCTTGAGTAATTCTTTAGTCTTCTTACACTCTAATTCTTAGGATACTCTGGGAAGAGGTCCCTTTCCACAACGTACCTCTCAGGCTTGGCTCATAAATTCTAGTTCCTAAGGGCTTCAGTTTGAGAGTCATAAAGTATTAAGACTTACCTTGGGTTAGATAGAAGGAACTACTTTAACACTCGATTTTATGGAACCCCAAGATTTTTTAGTTTGAAGGGCCTAAGAAGTCACCTACTAGTTCAATTCCTTTATTTTCCAGAGGAGGAAACTGAGACCGATAAGATCAGATGACTTAGTGAAGTCACACAGCTAAGTACTTAGTTCACATGGAACTAAAGTCTGGGTCTTTGATCGTCAGTACCGTGGTTCCCCCAGAACTGTTGCAGAATGGAAGCCCTGGCTATTGGATGGAAGGGAGAAGAGGTTCCCCACCCAGCCCATTTCTCTGCTATGCTTCTTCCTTCAAAGACTTTGTTCCAGATTCCTTCTTTAAGTACTTACTCATCATTCTCCTTGCCACAAGTCAATGGCTCCCTTCCCAGCCAAATCAGAGAAAGCCATGGAGAAGCCAGTGGCCTGTTGCTTACTTTGACATTGTTCACAGTGTAGTGCTGGTTGGGTCTAAAAATATACTTCCTTTAAGTTCTGCCCTCCATTTAAGTTGTGACCATTTTCATTAAGAGGCTTCCTGGACGTGCCCTGATGATAATGTTGGCCCCATTATTTAGTACTTAGGACTCTTAGAACTGCTTGTCAAGTGGAGAACGTTTCCTGTTCTTACCTCATCTCACCTCTTCCTACCAAGTAATTCTGACTTTCAGCTTATAGCCAGTTCTCCCTAATCTCTGGACTCAGGGGTCCTACTCACCATAATAAATACCAAAGAGGGTTGCAGCCCCTACAAAGGCTCCCAAGAGCTGGGCCCCCACATAAAAGGGGAATTTGAACCACTTCATCCGTCCAAAAAGACACATTGCAAAAGTCACAGCTGGGTTGATGTGGCCACCTGCAAGGAAGATAAGGTGATTAGGAAAGTCAGAGGGCAGGCCAGGGAGAATTATTGTGAAGGAAACCTTATCTAGGGACTGCAGGCAGAATTCAGTCTTCTAGGTGAGGAACTGTATGTGAGGAGGAGACAGCGGGGTGTGTGTGTGTGTGTGTGTGTGTGTGTGTTTGAGTGGAGAGGAAGAGAGGACTAATAATCCTCATGGCATCATTAGACACTGTTTAGGAAGTTTAGCTTTCTCAAAAGAAAGTCAAATATATAAAGAAACTTGTACTCAAGTGGCTCATTTTCTCTCTCTCTCTCTCTCTCTCTATCATCTCTCTCTCTCTCTCTCTCTCTCTCTCTCTGTCTCTCTCTCTCTCTCTCTCTCTATCTATCTATATCATCTATCTACTGGGTTTTGCCTAATATAAAGCAATAACCCCAAAGAGATTGATATAAACCGTTAACTTCAGTATATTTGTAAGTCAATATACTTATACTTGTAAGATTTAAATCTATATCTAGTCATTTCTAAGTCCATGTCCAGAGGATATAGAAACAATCTTAGGACTGAAAAGAGATATCTCTTTAAGGGGAAATGGCCCTTCCTTTGTGGGCTGTGCCTCTCACTGAGGTAAGGGGCTCAGTTTATTTTGAGGTAGTCACAGTGTCTGAGTGGATTTTCTGTAGTTTCTCTGCATAAACGATGTATATCTCACACACACAAATGGAGCAACACTTCCTCCTCCACTCCAGCCTAAACTCTGACTAGAGAAATCAGCCTCTTTGATTCTAACCCAGTTGCAAGGTTAGGTAGAGGGCTTGCTCTGGGGTAGGTTACTGATATCCCTAGCTGGCTTTGCTAGTAACAACAGTAACAACAATGCATATTGAACACTTGCCAGATGCTGTCATAGGGGTACTACGTGCACTTGATCCTCCTAAGAACCCAGTGAGGTGGGTACTAGTCCAGTTAACTGCTGAGGAAACTGAGGCACAGACGTAAAGTAACATTTTAAGGTCACATGGCTAATAAGTGGTAGGTCTAGGATTCAAATTCAGGTTTATTTGAACTCTTGGGCCTGTGTTCTTTTCTAGACCTTCTTCACCAAGTTTATAAAGGTTTCTCCGCCTTAGAAGGCAGGGAAAAATTTTTCAAAGATCATCTTTGAGCATATGGGCTTGATTCCTAGGGATGAAGGACACTCATATGAAGAGTGCCAATGACATTTAGTGTGGAGGGGGGAATCAGAGTAACTGTCAATGTGACCACACTGAAATGTGGACCTCTGGGTTGTGGAAATAGTTGTAAACAAAGGAATGATGATGATGATGATGATGATGATGATGACGACACTTTGCCATTTGACCCCCCACAGAACCTATTGGTGAGCTTGTTTTGGGAAGCCTTCCCTCCTCTCCCCAGTCCGTGAAGAAAGCTATGCTTTTCCTGAGTCTCTAAGCCAAAGTGGGCTTGCAGTGGGGAGGGGTTCTGACTGCTGACTACACCGTGAGGGTCCTTTCTTCACCTGCCTCTGCCACTCTGGGGCTAATATGAACAAGAAAATGCCAATATATCAAAGCACAGGTGACTTCCTGAAGCCTTACACACATATCACCTGTTTTGTTTTACTTTTAAATCTAAGAGAGTCATAATTCTGGAGACTGGCAGGAGTACAGCTTCCTAGGGAAGCTGGAAACAGGGGTTAGAAGAGGGGAGCACTCAGGGCAGTGGAAAGTTCCTGGAGCCAGCCCTGTTCCTCTTCTCCCAGAGCTGGTTGGAGGGTAGCCGCCACCCAGCCAGCCTGGAGGAACCCATTGTGAAAGGACAAGGGGATGTAAGAAATCACCTCCAATCAAAAATGTCTCCCCTCAGATGAGTCCACCAATGGGACAGTTACTGTTTAGCAAGCTCCTGTTCCAAAATAAGACTCGCTGTAGGTAGGTTTATGCTTTTAGCCCCTCAGAAGCACTCTGAGGCAGGAACTATTGTTCACCTTGACCTTGACATGCTGCAAGGCACTTAGTAGGTTTTCAAGATATGAAAGTTGATATATGTGGAATCTAAAATATGGCACAAATGAACCTATCTACAAAGCAGAAACAGACACATAGACATAGAGAACAGACTGGTGGTTGCCAAGGGGGAAGTGGGGAGGGACAGGGATGGACTGGGAGTTTGGGGCTGGTAGATGCCAACTATTACATTCAGAATGGATGAACAGCAAGTCCTACTGTATAGCATGGGGAACTATATCCAATCTCCTGAGATAAACCATAATGGAAAAGAATATAAAAAAAGAATGTCTCTATGTGTATAACTGCGTCACTCTGCTGTGCAGCAGAGATTGCCACAACATCGTAAATCAACTCTACTTCAATTTAAAAAATTGAAGGAAAAAAAAGATATGAAAGTTGAAGAAATAGTTAGAGGTCTTTATTCAGGTAGCTCAGACTACAAAGATCTACAGAGGGAAAGTTGTTTGGGAGTCAGAGAGGGTGTGCCCGGGAGGGTGCTTTGCAAAGCAACGAGGAGAGTTTCTCCTTGCAGAGATGCGTGATCACTTGGCTTACCCGAAGGACAAAGCAGAGCAGTGTAGTGGAAAGAACATGAGTGCTAGAGTCACAGAAGGCCACACTCACATCTTGGCCCTGCCAAGGTGGTTGTGATGATCAGATTATTCACATAAAGAGCCCAGGGGGATAGCTGGATTCCCCGAGGCCTGAGATGAAAGTCTTACGTGAGCAAGGTGAGCTCTTTCAAGGTTCTGTCCTAGACGAGTCTCCTGCCCACCGCCCACAGACAACTCTGTGATAGAGATCATCTTAACATTTTATTTGTCATTAAGCAAAGCTATTTTGATTTTTCAGTGAATTTTTATTGCTTATAAAAACTGCATCAAAAACAACCGCCATAGTCTAGGTACAAGCTGGCAGTGTAAACACTTTGTGGGGGATGGTGCATAATTAGGGCATTATGAGTTCTGATTGGCCAGATTGGATTGGCAGACTACTGGCAAGTTCACAAGGGAGCAGGGTGTGGTAACTGCCATGCAGTAAAGTAATGCTTTATGTTCCACAACCAGATGTCAGCTGACCTTACCAGTCTGGACCACAAAGTGGGATCCCATTTATGTTTATGCCTAATACACATTGGTTATTTTTGGAATTCCCAAAGAGGGCCTCACATATGCCCACAAACCAGCATGTTAGCTGCAGCCACTGTGAGAAAGTCACCTCCCCTACGTAGTCTTCCTCTCCTATTCCTGGGCTGCTGAAGCCAATACTGAGTCTGCACTGATGTCATCAGTGGGCCAGTGTGTTGTCTGTGCATGTTCCCCCCCAGTTCTCAGGGAGCTTGAATATCATTTCCAAACAGAGATGGGGAGATAAGCTCCTTTTCCAACTCAGTGCTACCTTATATCAGCCAGGCTCAGAAACTGCTCTCCTTGCATTTTTTTTTTTTTTTTTTTTTTTCCTTGCGTTATGCGGGCCTCTCACTGTTGTGGCCTCTCCCATTTGCGGAGCACAGGCTCCGGACGCGCAGGCTCAGTGGCCATGGCTCACGGGCCCAGCCGCTCCGCGGCATGTGGGATCTTCCCGAAACGGGGCACGAACCCGCGTCTCCTGCATCGGCAGGCGGACTCTCAAGCACTGCGCCACCAGGGAAGCCCTCTCCTTGCATTTTGAGATCTCAGTCTCTCATAAACAATGTGGACAGCTCCCAAGCCTCACCCAGAAGCAGCCTCTAGTGAAAACAGTCCCACAGTTCTGGCCCTTACTCTGAGCGCAGGGGCTTAATCCCAGTCTAAAGGCCGGATGGGAAGACTCCACACCATCCTTTACTCCCTCTTCCCCTTCCTGCTGGTCCCTGTCCTTTCTCCTCCTATCGTGACTCCAAATATATCAGTGGATGCAAACAGACAGTGACAGCGCTGGTGGTAAAGGGTGTTAGCTACATTGGTAGGGTCTGGGACCAATTTATCCTAAGTAAATATTTGATGAAGTTTAATTCAGGGTGTTATGCAGGTGAAATACTGCAAAACCACATCTCCACCTTAAAAAAATCGCTGAAAATATGCCTACATTTATATTGCATGGTTTGTGGAAACAACACCTGTGTGAATGTAGTTGGGAGCGTGCAGGGAGGCAGTGGAACATCCTGCATGCTTATTTGAAGCCAGGAGTGTGTTGTGTGTCTGGTGTCAAGGCCTGCAACTGTAATTAAGCCTTGGCACATTCAGGGTGTTCCCCTGGTTATTCTTGTGTCTTAGGTAGGTAGTCCAGTGCTGGGATCACAGCAAAGGCTCGGCAAGAGTTTGAACAGAAACACTGCTCATGCCAAACAAACCACACGTATGGGAATCTGTAACCTGGTCTGCCCCAAGATCTGAGTCCGCCTGTGATATAGAAAGGCTGACAGCTAGCAAATGACTGTTCCAAGTGCCCAGCCCATGGATGCTCTGTGGGGGTCTGGGCAATCATTCTTTAGCGCTCCAGTGGCAGCACTTGTCACCAGTCCAGCCAGCTCAACTGCAGGATCCTCCCGCTGGACCGTACTGCCCATAGGCCCTGCCTGTACTGGCCTTCCCATAGCAGACCACTGGAAATGTTGTATAATAATGGGGACCTGTGCTTTGCTGTCGTATAGACCTGTGTCAAATCTTTGATCTGTCTCTTTGCCAGCTGTGGGACTTCTGGCAATTTACTCAATCCCTTGGAGCTCCAGTTTTCTCTGTAGAATGGACAATAGTACCGGCCTCAGAGTGCTGCTATAGAAGTGAGAGGAGATAAAGTATGTACAGCACCCAGTATAGTGCCCAGCATGCAGGGGGTCCCTTCTTCCGTTATCACCAACAGTCTTGCCTTAGTTCTCTGAGCCCCCAGACAAGGCTGCTGAGGATTCTGCAAGCCTTTGGGAAGTGGATCGTTTCCACAGTACCTTCCTAAGGTCCCAGGCTATATTAGATATCATTTCATTTTGCTCCTCAGAACCTTGAGAATGGCTTCTAATTAGCCTACCACTCAGAACAGAAGTGGACCAAGACCTTCTGACTAGCCTTGCAGCTCCATGAACACACTAGCTATTTTGCAAATGACCTAGGCTCTCTCTGATTGCTGTGGATAAAGGTCCAGCGAATTGCCTCTGTTGGAGTGATATTCACTGGGCTATTCACAGCATATCTGGGAAGTGGTTTCCAAGCGTGGGGTAGAGCTAGTAAAAGATTCTATTGATAAACTATTCAGTAGCCAGATTTATGAATCAGTCAGTTCTGAGTTCCAACCCTCATCTCTGTCTTTTGCTAAATGTTGCCTTTGTGCCAGTCACTTACCATTTGCTGGCCATTTAAATTTTGTCATCTATAAAAATAGAATCAAATACATATTCTTGCAGGACTGTTGAGATCTAAAAAAATTAAGGTCTGTAGAGTACCCAGAACTGTGCTAGTACATTGGAATGGTTGAGTTAATAGTAGCTGTTATTATTATTATTTCTATTACTTACCAGAGACACCTCCAGCAACATAAATGGCCATTACTATTGCCAATGAAAATCCAATATTGATAGTGATGATTCCTCCATGACGTTCTCGACTGAGGACAGCTTGGGCAACACAGCCACATCCAAGGACCTGGAATGAAAGGGAACTCAACAAGTAAGTGAAGATGGCCACTATCAAAGACAATGGAAAGTCAGAGTAACAAGAAGCATTTTTCAAGCACACTCATGGCTTGGACTGCCATAGGCCTCGTGCAAATCAAATTATAATCTTCCAGCTGTGCACAAGTAGCAAAATGATGGTCCCAAGGCTGCATCTGGCTTATGGATGAGTTTTGTTAAGACTGCAAAGTGTTAAAATTTTGTATGAATTTATAAACCAAGTAATTTGTTAATCATTTCATAATATATATAAATATCAATATCATTATGTTGTAAAACTGAGACTAATATAATGGTGTATGTCAATTATACCTCAAAAGGAAGGAGGGAAGCAAGGAAGGAAGGAAGGAAGGGCAGGAAGAAGGAAGAGGGGAAGAAAGGAACCTTTGGTGAGGGAGGGTTATCGGGAAAGATGAAACAGTCACATACAAGTTTGGTAGGAAAACAACAGGACAACGAATGACCATCAGCCTTTGTCACTCTGTGGTTTAAAGAGCCAGTGTGGTCCTGGAGGAATAAGTTCTGGGCTGCAGGATCATTAGATCATTGCTCTTAGATGTCAAGTAGTCACAACTTTTTGTAGAATACAGGTTCTGTTTTGGGTTTTATGACTAAAGAAGAGCAACCAACTGGAGGGAGGGCTCAGCATCAAGTAATGGATATTATTTAAGGGCATATGAAGAAAGGTTTCAGAAACAAACGTATTTAAGCAACAAGAGATTAAGAATGTGAAGACTTCTCATCAGGAACATAATAACCAGCTCTTGTGTCCCTTCACAAAAGAATGAGAAAGGAAGTCTGAACCTGAAATATGAGAAGTTGCACATAAACCATTTCCTGATAGTGATGAATTAATTCTAAATAGCTCCCTTGGGACCCATTTGTGGAGTCCTTCAGAGAAATACAATTTACAAACAATGGATATTTAATACATATAGAATGATTTTGGTTTACTCCTCCCTGAAGGCAGAGAAATTACCTAGATGATCTTTTAACATCCACTCCAGGCCCTGATTCTAAGATATATTGATTTAGCTCTACCTGATAGACAGTAGGGAGAAGTAGGACTTGACATCTCAAGGGGAGAACAGGGGCTGCATATCACATGCACAGGGCTGTCTTTGACATTAATCACAGACTCCAGACCCTGTACTGAGAGCTAAATAAAGTTGCAGCAGGAACATGTTCCCTTTTCCCTTTCCAAAAAGAAAAAAATCCCCTGGGTTCGTTTCACAGCCTACCAATTTCACCTAGGCTTGACATTATTTTTTTCTAGGATCCCTATCTGTTATAATAACTGTCAGAATACCGTATGCTAACACATATATATGGAATTTAAGGAAAAAAATGTCATGAAGAACCTAGGGGTAAGACAGGAATAAAGACACAGACCTACTAGAGAATGGACTTGAGGATATGGGGAGGGGGAAGGGTAAGCTGTGACAAAGGGAGAGAGAGGCATGGACATATATACACTACCAAATATAAGGTAGATAGCTAGTGGGAAGCAGCCGCATAGCACAGGGAGATCAGCTCCCTGCTTTGTGACCACCTAGAGGGGTGGGATAGGGAGGGTGGGAGGGAGGGAGACGCAAGAGGGAAGAGATGGGAACATATGTATATGTATAACTGATTCACTCTGTTATAAAGCAGAAACTAACACACCATTGTAAAACAATTATACTCCAATAAAGATGTAAAATAACCCAAAAAAACCCCAAAAACCACACTGCTTTCTTTTTAATTTATAGCCAATTAAATGCACCTGGCACAACTTCCAAGCTAACTGGCATTTTGGTAGCATCTTCTGAAAAAAGGAAAAAAACATTCCTGACAGCTGAGATGACCTGATTTAGACAACCGGGGGTGAGAAGAGGCACATCCAGACACTGGCCAGTCCTGAGCTATTACTACGTTCCACATAAGCTTCTTCCCTCTTTTATGGTCTGATGTTCACGCACTTGTGATAGTCTACAGGGGGCATCAAAGCTTTAAATGGCCTGAGTGGACCTGGGGAGGCTTCTGTCCTGTCAAACTTCATTGTGATTAATACTCTCCTCTTCTACCCTAGATGTTGAAACTGCTTTTTTGTTCTTTTCTAGAGAGTATAACTGATGCTGTGCACTGCAAGAAAGGAGCAGAAGGAGAAATGAACAAGGTAAGTTACCCTAGTCAGAAATTGTTACTCAGAAGATGTCAGCCCAACTTGACATCACTGCTTCTTAATTTTTAAATACATTCATACAGCCTGAAAATCAATGAGGAAGACAGGTAATTGCCTGCTAGTATCTTTCCTTGCCTGCTTCATCCCGCCTGCATTCACAGCACCAGGGAAGCAGATCTGGGATATTCTAATGTTATCATGGTCTGATTGCTAGGGAATTGGTCACCCACTCTGGTTTCCTTCTTCTGTGTGCCCACTGTAATTTTTTTTCCTTAAAAAAAATGAGAGAACTGTTGTTTATGGTATTACTGATAGAATTTCCAGCATGATTCCGTGCTCTAACCTTTAAGAACTGCCATACTTTTCCCCTTCTTAGACACAGAAAGAGCCAACCTGTCTCAATTTTTCAGGTCTCCCTATCTAGAAATCTTTTTTTGGACCCATCACCCTTTCATATTCTTCTCACTAAACCTAACCTCTTTTCTCTGAAATTCACTTGGACTGTCTGTACTGAACAATTAATAGTTGTTTTCCAGATGGCTGATCTTGATTTCCTTATCTAGAAAACAATCTCTAAGATTCCTTTACATACCAACAGTATGCTAGTCTATCCTGTTTTATTCTGTTTCCTTGGATGTTGTGTTTTCCAAGTCCACCACCCATATGCATGCCATCAACAGACCTCCAAGGTCTGTTCCACCTTCTTGTCAGGATCCAGCACCTACCTTCTCCAGGTAGGTAAAAAAAAAATCACAAAACCATGTAGGGGAGGGAGGGTATTACAAAACCATGGATGTAGTCTTCACTGTGCCCCCAAAAGTCTTCATTCATTTCTCATTCATATTCTCCCAATAGTTTCATCAAGCCTTCTCTTCTGTCATTAGCCCAAGACACCTGAGCCCCTTTCTGCAAATAATATCTCCTTCTACTTGACTCAGTGCCTGTAGGTGGCCTTGAAGATCAATGGCAATTCAGAAGATCACATAAACATTGTGTTCCGGTTATTCAGTGCTACGAAACTAACTACTCCCAAACTTAGTGGTTTAAAATGGTAACATTTATTTTGCTTGTGAATCTATCATTTGGGCAAGGTTTGGTAGAGCATCTTACGTCTGCTCCATTTGGTATCAAATGTGATGGTTCAAAACTTGAAAGACTGGAATTATCTGAAGGCTCACACAGTCACATGCCTAGTGGTTGATGTCACCTGTCAGCTGATGCCTCAACTGGTGGGTTGGCCAACACACCTACAAATGGTCTCTGTGTGGCTTGGCTGAGTTCCAAGGGTGATCACTGTACAGCCTTCAGAGCCTACGTTCTTAAACCCTGAATCATGCTACCTCTCAGACATAGCACTACTTTGGTTCTGAACTCAATAGCACACAAATTACAACATCCTTAATAGGCATTAACTTGGCCCATGTTGGTTACCTTTAGGAATAGGGAGCTCATTACCACATCAGGTAGCTTGTTCTAAATATTTTTGGTGTTCCAGTGGTTGGGGAGTCCTTCCTTATATGAAGTTGGAGTCCTTTTTCCCTGTAACTTCTGTTCATTGGCTCCTGGCTTACTCTTGGGACCTCAGAGGAGAAGCCTCTTTTATACACCAGGCACTCCATTAAGTAGAGGGAGCAAAAAGTCCTCCCTGAGTTCTTTTCTGCTGGATGTTTGTCCCTTCACCTTTGATCCCTAGGGCTCCTCAGATTCCCAGTGAGTCTCACCTGGATGAGCTCTAGGTTGTTAGCACCACTTTTAAGCACAGAGCCCAGGAATGGACACCATCCTCCCTTATTTTTTTTAAGCTTTTAAAAATGTTTATTATTTAAGACCAAAAATCCTGTACAGGCTCCTTATAGAGAATATGAGGAATATATAAAAATATAAAGAAAAAACCCAATCACAATGCCTTTACCTATGAACAGACATTATAAGCATTTTGGCTTATTTCTCCCCAGTAACTTTAAAAATATTTATTTATTTATTAAAGTATAATTGACCTAAAACACGATTCACTATTTTCATACATTACAAAATGATCACCACAAGTCTAGTTACCATCTGTTACCATACAAACTTATTACAGTATTACTATGTTCCCCATGCTGTACTTTTCATCCCTGTGACTCATTTTGTAACTGGAAGTTTGTACCTCTTAATTTCCCTCACCTATTTCACTCATCCCTCCACCACCCTCCCCTTTGGCAACCACCTGTTTGTTCTCTATATCTGTGAGCCTGTTTCTGTTTGTTATATTTATGTATTTTGATTTTAGATTCTATGACTTATTTTACCTAGCATAATACCCTCGAGGTCCATCCATATTGTCACAAATGGCAAGATTTTATTCTTTTTATGGTTGAGTAGTATTCCATTGTATATACATACCACATCTTCTTTATCCATTACTCTATTGATGGACTCTTAGGTTGCTTCCATATCTTGGCTATTGTAAATAATGCTGCAGTGAACATAGGGATACATATAACTTTTCAAATTAGTGTTTTTATTTTCTTCGGATAAATACCCAGGAATGGAATTGCTGGATCATGTGGTAATTTTATTTTTAATTTTGGGGGAAACCTCCATCCTGTTTTCTATAGTGGCTGTACCAATTTACATTCCCACCAACAGTGCATGAAAGTTCCCTTTTCTCCACATCCCTGCCAACACTTGTTATTTGTTGTCTTTTTGATGATAGCCATTCTAACAGGTGTGCGGTGACACCTCATTGTGGTTTTGATTTGCATTTCTTTGATGATTAGTGTTGTTGAGCATCTTTTCATATGCCTGCTGACCATCTGTATGTC